TTTTTTTCCTTAAACAATTTATGCCATGATTTTACTGATATCCATTATAATTAATATTTGTCGAGTAATTTTTTTTAATCTTTATTTAATTATATAAAACTAATATTTTTTAAAAAAAAAATTAATATTATTTATCATTTAAAAGATAATGATCACATCATTAAATGATTTTATTGATGGTTAGATAATAAAATTATATTAGTTTTTCTTTAAAATTCCGACATGTTATTATTTGTATATTATTGTTAACTATGATAGTGTTTTTATTACTTTTTTTTTTTGTTATGTTTCAAAAATGAACTTATTGTAAAATATTTTTCTATTGCATTGTATGTTAAATAAACTTTAAAGCCTAAGGATGAAAATTAGAAAAAAATCTCTTGATTATGTAAGGGATTTATTTTTTGGCAATTGCTAAATCATTTTTTTTAAAAAAAAAAGAATTATTATGATAAAATTGAATTCTAAAAAACATGTGTATGTATTTTGTAAAAATTTATACTCAAAATTTTATTTTGAATTTCATTACATAACGAAAACTACTTTTATAACTTTTATAAATAATAATAATAATGACATTATATGACTATAAATTTTATAATAAAATAATAATTGAGTATTATATGGTGAATAAGAATAAATAAAATTTTTATTTTTTCTTATATCAATGACTAAATATGTATTCTAAAATCAAATAAATATTAGTATGACGTGTTACGGAATTATATATTAATTAACATGTTAATTTTTTGGCTTAAATAAACGCCACTTATTAAAAGATGTAAAATATGAATGATCCATGCCTATTGTTTTTTTGTCTAGACGTACAAGTCCTATAGAAATAATTGTTTTATTATATGTATCACGTGCATCGCACGGGGTATGCACTAGTATAGATATAAAGATTAACCGTTAATTCTCTATAATTGCTCAATCAAGTCCATATATTTAAACTAAAGATTTCGAAAGTTTCTATAATACCCACATATTTGTTTCCATAAAACTAAATCATCATAAATTTAAATTCAACTAATAAAGGTAATAACAACAAATATTTGACTAAAAAGAATATGTACATTAATTACATTGTTTTTTATTAATTTACTATTTTTAGACAATAATTAATGAAATTGGCGGGAAATTGTTTCTAAAAGTGAATTATGTTAATCTTTATTATATATGATAGATAATAGATATCGTGAAAAAGGAAAATTAATTTGGCCGCATCGTTTGTTTATACTACTTAAAAAAAATTAACTAAAATATAGTAAAATGAAGACAGTTGGAGCACGCCACCGGCGACCGAGCCCATCCTTCATATTATCCAAAAAATGGCAAGCAGGCCAAGGGTGAACAGTGCTAACATGCGCCGTCCGAATACGAGCAAAACAAGCTACCCTTATCCTACACCACTCTTTGTAATTGTACCGACTTTTATCTTCATCGTCTTTGAAAAGTGTGCCTGCGCGTATAATAATAGCGCGAGACAGAGCCAAGCCAATCGTTAGATGTATTCAGCTCTAATTTATTCACTTTTAAGTATTAACTTCGTCACTGTATTAATGGAGAAATAACTTATTGCATCCTTTTCAGACCTCCGATCGCGATTTATCGGCATATTTATTGGAACAATTGAAGGCTAAAAAGGAGGTTGAACGAGTGATATAGTTTGGGATGGAGTCGAGGGCTGAGCGGCGGCTGAGATTGATTCAGGCCCATCTGGTTCCCGTCTCCGACGATGATTTCTTGCGGGTTTCTGCGAATCCGACCGCCGGCGAATATTTTCACGGTATTATTATTGCTTAGTGTAAAAGGGATCATGGATTGGTGGCAGCCGATTTGGTTGTACTTTATAATCTGTAGTGTGCCATTGAATATTCTTTTCATGAAAAGCTGTAGTTTAGCTTTTTGTGCTTCTTCGAACTGTAGATTTAGTTGATAGGAAATATGCAAATATTCGGAATTGTTGGAAACGGAATTGTTTTTCCAGTGAATGGTTAAGTTTATGGAAATTGGTAGTGAGATCACCGACTGATAAAGTAGTATTCATGGGAGTTCTGTTTTCCCTTCTCAGGCAGCTAGAGATTGGCAATTTAATATGATTTGCAGGATCATATGCACGGGATGAAGGATGATAATTGATATTGTTATGAATAATAATATTTATTTACTTATTTTCATATCAGTTAATTGGTTTTATGAAATTAGATAGATACTTTTCCACGGGTTTGAAAAAGTATGTCATGGTTTTGACTTTCCATTTGATCTCTGTTTAGGTTTGACAATGTAGTGTCCTTTCATTCTGTTAGTATTTTTTCTTCATTCCTTGGTCGAAATCTTTACACAATGATTACGTGATGAGCAGTGGGATAGTAGCTTGCTTGTTGGGTGTCTGATTGATGAAGTTGGGAAATTCCGATTAAATATATATTGGATGTATGTGGATGCTGGAGTTTAGGTTTGTGTTACTGCTACTTTTGTTTGAGGATTTGGCTTTAGCACTTGCATCTATGTCAAGGGGAGGGAATGTTGCTCAAATTTGGGACCTGTCTTACATAAAGTCGAATGTTGATTTTACCAACTTGCTCATGTAATTTTTATTCTTTTTAACAAGAGCTTTCATATAAAGTAAGAGTGTTTTAACTCTCTCTCTCTCTCTCTCTCTCTCTCTCTCTCTCTCTCTCTCTCTCTCTCTATCCTCCCTCCCTCCCTCTCTCTCTCTTGTGTGTGTGTGTGTGTGTGTTTGTGTGTATGTGTGCGTTTTTAGTTAAATTCTCTGTTTAGTTAGAGATAGTGACATTTTTCAACGATGAGCAGGCCAGAGATATAGTGTAGTTCTGCCTGAAAAATTGCAAACCGGAAAATGGAATGTGTACAGGTAGGAATTGTACCTCTTACTTGTGCATACCTCACCTCATCTTTATCCTATTTCTGCATTTGTTTCCATAGAAATCTGCTTTTGACATTTGTACTGGTCATCTCATGACAGATCTGCACGTTCTCCTTTGAAACTCGTCGACAGAATCCCAGAACATCCAGAGATTGGCACATTGCACGATAACTTTGTGTGAGGATTTTCACCTGTTCTCCATTCACTATTATGTCTGTCTTTACATAAATATTCTACTATATCTTACTTTATGGCTTATTACACGTGTTCTTTTAGTATCTGTGTTTTCCATCTATATCTGATGCTTAACTCAAAAGCATCATCTCCCATTCTCTAGTTCTTCAAGTTATTTTTCCTTTATAACTTTTTTGGTGCTTCCAGACATGCAGTTGAAAATTTCCAAGACTACAAATATTTGGGTACACGTATACGGGTAGATGGTACAGTTGGAGAGTAAGTATTTTGGTAAAATGATGCTTTCTTAGGTTGTCAGCAAATTAAATGGCAAAACCTAATGTTTATAGTTTATTCTCCTTTTTTTTTTTTTTAAATGAGCAGGTACAAATGGATGACATATGGAGAGTCAGGTAGTGCTCGATCAGCTATAGGTTCGGGACTTCGCCATCATGGATTACAATCAGTTAACAACTCTCTCTCTCTATGATCTGAATTCATTAAGTTACTAAAATTTGTCAAAATACATTCTGGAAATGAAAATCATGTGTCTAGACTTGTTTTGAGCAACTTTCAAAAAATATGTAGACCACCAATTAATGAATGCTTGGTTGTATGTTTTCAATTATATTACTAGGAAGATGCACGTGCTACGCACGTGGTATTTTTTTTTCAAATTAGTTTTAGTATTAGGTTTATATTTAAAAGTATAATATAATTTTCTTTCATTTAGTTTAACAAAAAATGGTGTATTTTATTGAATAATGAAATGTAGTATTTAATACTATTATCTAAACTCTATGATGAAT